CAGTACTATTCATTTACACCTCAATTTGTTCCCAAAAAAATTCAAGGTGGCTTACAAGAACACATGTTTATTTTGTAGTACCTATTGGTAGTAAATAAGAAAAAAAAAATAAATAAAATACCTGTTATCCACATTCAAATATGCCCAAGTTGACTTCAAAACAAAGCCTTTTTATAACACAGATAAGCACTATGTTAAATTTTTCAAGTGGCTGAGAGATTCATGTATATCCACTTACCTTTCTTAGGTTTAACCATGAGCTTTTAAAATATCTTCCAGGCTGAGCTTGATGGCTGATGCCTGTAACCTCAACACTTGGGGAGGCCAAGTTGGAAGGTTCTCAAAAGGACAGAAGTTCAAGACCAGGCTTGGTGACACAGTGAGACCTTGTCTCTAGTATAATAAAAAAAAATGTTAAAAATATTACGTTTTATGTGATTTGGTCATTGGGATTTTTGTCTTGATTAGTTTCTGTATTTCTATTTTTTATTAGTTTAAATTTTATAAAATATTTAATTCAAAAGAGTTTAAAAGTGCCAAATAGTATGATTTTTTGTTTTTGAGATGAAGTTTTGCTCTTGTTGCCAAGGCTGGAGTGCAATGATGCAATCTTGGCTTGCTGCAACCTCTGCTTCCTTGGTTCAAGCAATTCTCCTCCCTCAGCCTCCCAAGTAGCTGAGATTACAGGCATGTGCCACCATGCTGGGCTAATTTTTTTGTATTAAGTAGAGAGGGGGTTTCACATTGTTGGCCACGCTGGTCTCAAACTCCTGAACTTAGGTGATCCATCTGCCTCACCTCCCAAAGTGCTGGGATAACAGGGGTGAGCCACTGTACCCTGCTCAGAAATGTTGTTTTGAAAATTACTAAATTCCCACCTCTACTTTCAAATTTTCCCCTCTTTGTAGCAACAATTTTTATCTTTTAGCCAATTATGTTGGTATATATCACCATGTCTTTAATCACATTCTTTTATTTATGCTTTTTACCTGATTATTTTGGCCTAACTTAACATGTTTCTAAAGAACATAATCTTTTTGCTTCTTGTTGAGTCTGAGTTCCCAGTTTTAAGTATTGTTTATATACTTCCACTGCAGATCACAAGCATTTAGCATTCTCTCCTCTCAAACCTCCACCCCTGAATATTTAGAGCAATTCCACCATATTCCACTGAAGTTACATTGTAACTTCTTTAGATTAATTTTTGGAGTATATATTATCACAACAGCAAATTCTTTTTTTAAGCTGAGCTGTGTAATAGACTATAATCAGTGATATGGTTTGGCTCTGTGTCCCACTCAAATATCATCTCCAATTGTAATCCCCATAATCCCCACAAGTGGATGAAGGAAACCTGTGGGTGGTAATTGGATCATTGTGGCAGTTTTCCCCATGCTGTTCTCATGATAGTGAGTGGGTTCTCACGAGAGCTGATGGTTTTAAAGTGTGGCACTTCCTCATTCTCACATATACTTTCTCCTGCCACCTTTGAGGAAGGTGCCTACTTCCCTCTCCCCTTCCGCCATGATTCTAAGTTTCCTGAGGCCTCCTAGCCATGGTTCATATTAAGCCTGCAGGACTGTGAGTCAATTAAACCTCTTTCCTTTATTTACCCAGCCTCAGGTAGTATTCTTTATAGCAGTGTAAGAACAGATGAATACAATCCATTTTCCCTTCCCATAGTTTTCTCTAGTTATTGCATATTTCTGTGGTTTTCCCTAGGTATTGCATATACATTGTTTTATTCGTTTGCTTGGTTCTTTTTACACTTATCACTAATTCAGCTCCAAACACTTTATCAATTACTAAATCTCCTCTTTAGATATGTCAGGCATTCTATCAATTTCATCTGCTTAAACAAGATTTTTCCCAGGAACCTTTAGATTTATCTTTCAGAACTGATTTCCTTATACGAGTAGTGCACATTTCTTAGTTTGGGGTCTTCCCTTGATTGCTTTTCTGTGCTGGATCTCCTGCTCCCCAAATCTCATGTGTTCATTATTCTTGTTTAATTCCTTTGATTGGTGGAACACATTCTTCAATATCTTATTAGGTAAAGAAATGTGCTATTTGAGAATATGAATGGTTGAAAATACTCTTGAGTGTCCCATGATTGACACTTGGCTAAGTAGACTTAATAGGACATTCTTTTTCTTTAGAAAATTTTTGAAGATAGTTCTTCATTGACTTTTAGCTTTCAATGTTGCCTTGAAAAGTCCAGAGTTATACTGATCACTTTCAGTAGATCCGCTTTGTTTCTTTCTTCTCCCTGAAATTATATATACTATTTTTCCCTTTGAATCCTTGGTTATGAAATTTTGTGATGCTATGTCTTGGTGTGCAGTGAATCCAACATTTATATAAAACCTCAGGAATCATTTCAATCTGAAAAATATTGGTTTACTCCAAGAAAATAATTAAAGTTTTACTTCTCATTTTTCAATTTTTTAATAGAATTTCCATTTTTTAGGTATTGGACCTACTAGACTGGTCCCATAAATTTCTCATTTTTCTCTCCTGTTTTCAATGTTGTTGACATTTTTGCTCTACTTTCTGAAAGATTTTCTCAACTTCTTCCAACTCTCTCTTTACATATTTTTATCTCATTAAATTTTAAATTTCCAGCTGTTTTATTTTTTTGGCTTTATGTCTATTTTTATAGTACCCTGTTCTTGTTTCATGGTTATAATGTTTCTTTTATTCTTTCTTTTAAAATTTTTCTTCTTTCTCATCTGTTCTTCTATTTTCTGATTATTTTGTTATAGTTCCTGTATTTCATGTCAGAAATTAACATTATAATATTTGGTCATCTACCAATACTTACAAAATAATCACATCCTTTATGTTTCTCAGTTCCTAATTGCATTTTAAGATGGAAAACATATGGCTCCTGATATTTAAATTCCATTTTATATATGAAGAAAAAAGCAAAAGGTAACAAGTATATAATATAAATAACTGAACTGATAAATTTGAAAATTCAGTTGAAAATAATTAATAGGTCAATAAAAATAAGTTTTTTAATAATTAAAGAACATTATAATCTACTGTAAGATTTGATAAAACTTTCTATTTCATTTTTGAAATGAAAAGTAAACTCTACTGCTATTGCAACATCTAACTCTCTCAATTCATAATCATGGATGTCCTATTTGGAGCAAAAATTACTTCCACTCTGAACAAGGACCACGACAAGGGGACAAAGTAATTACATGCTAATGGAAAAGGCCAGCTGCTGAGAATTATGATATAGTAAGATAGGTAGACTATGCAGGAAATTCAGTTTGGCATTCAAAGATATATAGATAAAGAACTTAAAGAGAAATCAGTTTTCTATCCCCCAAATAATTTGTCAGATAATAAAAGTAGAAAATTTTGGCCAACAGCATGCTATTTTCAGACCAAGTGAAATTTGTACTTTTTCCAAAATGTTTTCTGTGAATTTAGATTAAAGTTAGAAAGATAAAAACCCCATTAGAAACAGACTATTTTAATGACTCAATTAATGTCCAGCATTTACAGGTTCCTCATAAGATATATAGGTAATAGATAGAAAGATCAAGCCACAATTTTATTCATAAAGGCAATTCACCAGAGATCTCTAGCATTTTAGCCAGCTAAGAAAGAAATATAAGCAGCAGAATGAAGGATTGGTCCTATAAGCACTATAGATAATTGGTTTCAGATGATCTTCTACTCTTTATATAAGAGTAAGCTCTCAAATACAACAAAGCTTAAATTCCTGAAAATTAAAATTAGTTTAATAAAAATTTTTAAGTAAAAGTTTTGTAAATAAAATTACTAGATATACTTAATAAATAAAAACTGAGGATGAACTTTATTTTTAAAAGAAAAACATATTTAAATTTAAGAGCTACAGAATTAATAATCATTCTCATGCATACAAAGGACCATGTATGTATACATGAGTCAAAACTGAAAAAATTAGGCTATCAAAATTAAAAAAAAATGAAAAAATACTGAAAAGTCAGCATATTATGCAGAAGAAACAAAGTTAGGATAGTATGTGTTACCCTCCACTAACACATACTTATTTTTGGAGCTTCTTCCTTATTTGACTTCTCTTTGAGTCATAAGCCCAGTAGATATGAATAGACTTACACGTACACCTCAGGAAATCCCAAAAAGCTAATAGGTGTTACATGAGAAAGTTTTAAACTTTCAAGTAATGTTTATAATGGGAATTAAATAACATATCTTGTGTTTGTTCATCTTAACTTAGATTTATTTCCATAACAACCAATAGAATAGATGAAAATGAAAATATTCTAAAGCTGTTTAATATTTCAAATTTAGATAAATACCAAAAAAAATTTTATTAAACACATTTGCATTAAATCTATAATAAGCAATAATAATGTACATGATTTGGAGACAGGCAATTCTTGAGGCTATCTATGTATATATCAGATATATAAGTACTATATTTAAAACAATATAACCTGCCAGCTCTCTACTCTTTAAAATTCTCTACCAACTTTAACTCAGAATTTGATTACTCAGAATAAAATTATTGTTAAAAGTTGAAAGGATTTCTACAATGGTAGGTTTTTTTCAGGCCTTGGAACAATAGCCTCAAACCCAATCTTCAGGATATGTCATCAGTGCCACAGTAAATGCTGTTTTGCCTCACAGAGTAGTGGGAAAGAAAGGAAAAGAGCGAAGAGTGAACATGCTGGTCATGCTGGTCATCTTACATAGAGCTGAATGTAAGACATCCTCTCACAAGAACTGTGTTCCAGCAAAATCCATTTACTTCATTTGATTGAAGACTGAGCAGCACCAAGGAAAAAGAGCCAGGTTAAAAAAAAAAAAAAAGGAGAGAATTAGCCTGAGAAATATAGTGATACCCCATCTCAACAAAAATTTTTAAAAATTAGCTGAGCAGGGTGCCACATACCTATAATCCCAGCTACCAGGGAGACTGAAATGGAAGGATCACTTGAGCCTGGGAGATAAAAGCTGCAGAGTCGAGATTGCACCACTGAACTCCAGCCTCAGGAATAGAGCAAGACCCCCTGTCTCAAAAAATAAAAGAAAAAAAGTGAGAGAACTAAATTCTGGTTATATCTTGGTCATTAAAGATATAGGACTACAACACTGAACCTCTCTGTGTGCCAGTTTTCTCATTTGTGATGGATTATGGTCAAATCACTTTAGAAAGTTGAATGAATTATAGAGGAAATATCTATTATACAAGAGAATAAATTTCAGGAGCACACTTCATTGACCAAAATGTCATAACCATTAGTAATATAATTAAAAGAGGCTGGCAATGAGAGAAATTAGATTAGTGAAAAGGCAATAAAAAGAAGGGGGCAAGAGACAAACCTTAAAGCCATTTGACCTCATTTATGGTGTATGGAAAATGATATAGGTAATTTCTTAATCCAACAATTTCTACCAACAGCCAGCAGGTCACAAGGCAGAATGCAAACAATTTTCTTTTCCAAGACTATGAAGGCAAAGCTAGTAATTTATCAACCATGTTCCATTTTGATATTTCTTAGAAAGAACTATTTTTTAACAGATCTCTTTCTCAATAATGCCATCCAAATAGAAACGGTTAGTGAGAACACTTTAAAGTACATTATAAAGTAGAAAAGTTTTACTTTGATTTTTAAATATCTTCAAACACCATTAGTCTTAAACTTCATAGAAAATTCAGTTATGTCTTTTTAGCATTTAAACCAAGGGTAGACAATGTATTTTTGATGATTAAGAAGAAGACTAGATTCTGTTTTATGTTAAAGAGAAAAAAAAAATAGATTCACTAAAAAAATTAAAATGTTCCAGATTATCCACAATACAACATGAAAAAGGAAGGTATTTTCATAGTAATATTTCCATGGGAGTGTAAAGAATAATTCCACCAGTTTTTATACTAGAATTCTAACAATTCTGGTCATGAGAGGTGTTCTAAGCCATGGTTTCTGTAAATAGTGCAATTTCATTTTATTTTCTGCCTTCTTGTTTTGAAATGAGATTGGCTATGTGCCTGGTGCTTTTTATAAGAATACATTTCTAAGTAATATCTGAATAATTTAGCTTTATTATATGGTATTTACAGGAACAACAGTAGATACTCATTTAAAATAGCATTTAATTCTATGCACAGTCTCTATTTCCTTCCCCTTTCCCTGACTGTCAATGGAAAAATCACTACAAAATTTGAGGCATTAATAAATTACTAAATGTTTCTTTTCTTTTCCTCTAAGGTTAACTAACTTGTTTTTCAATTCAACATTTGTTAGGTTCTTCGATTCCAAGATTAATTTTTTTGTTGCTCTAATGTAATGTTGCATATTCATTTGCAAAACAAAGACACATGGGCAAAAACTTCTGCAATATTGTCTGTCTAGGGACAGCTCTGAGGATTACAATATGTTCAGCTCTCAATTTTTTGAAACAACTTAGGGATGCAGTCTTTAGTTGAATTTCAAGATGGATTCTAATTTTTACATGGATCCTTCTGGCAAGGAAATTCTGAGTACCTTAAGGAACTGAAATAAAAAGTATAAGGCATGGATTCTTGAAATCCCCCCTCCATCTAGATGAAAATGAGCATAGGAAAACATATTGTGATAATCCAAAACATTCATTATGAAAATCATGTAAGATTTGAAACTCACTCTGCAAGCTGCATTTGATTACAAACTTCTCTTGGGACTATGCCTAGGTATTCTTGGGCTTGTAACCAGAATACATTGCTTAGCCTATCAGCCATCACTTAACATGCTTTAATATCACACAGTGCCACAAGACCTATACTGTGCAAAAGTCCACATTTGATACACTCTCCACACAGTCCTGATTTTTTTCCAAAATTCCATATTAAACTTGGTAGCAATGCTAAAAATTCTCACTGCCCATATCTTCTATGATATTGCCACTGTTTTTAGTTTTCTGAAATTTCTTCTCTTTCTTCCATTAGCATTCCATTAATGTTAAATATCTCCATGCCCAATGTTGAGCTACAAGTGTCTGGTGGCAATGCTAGCTCTATTTACACTGCAGAGGGTCATATCTTCACTCATTCAGAAAGAACAGTAAAGAGTGGCCTGGAATGACTAGAGATCTGAAGAAGGAAAAAAATAAGCAAAGCAGAGGAGAAGGGTCATAGAGAATATGCTTACCTGAATTCTGTTCTATTGTATTCAATGATCACATATGTTCATCAGCAACACTATATATTCAGAAAATGTGCCCCTTCATGGTATGGCTTGATATATGCAACTAGAAGGTACCCAGTCATAAATAAAATTTATAGAGAGGCCCTTAGATTCATATGACAAAGGGTAGGCAAAGAGAAATTTTAGATCAATATTTCTATAAAACATCACTTTTGTATAACTTAATACTTCTATTTCAATTTTTAGTTCTTCTATAACTCTTAGAGGGTAATGACAAGCTCTTCATTCTGGCATTTGAGATCTTTCCAGTTTGACTCTGAACTACTTTTCCAGTTTTACCTCGACCCCTGGAAAAACTAGACAATTTTATAACTTTGCTTTAGATATTCCTTTTGTCTGTTTATTTTCCCCCAGAACACCCTCCCCAGGCTCTTTTTCCTTACTCAAACCTCACAAATCTTTCAAGGTACATTTCAAATATTTCTGCAATGCCTTTCCAATTCAACTCAGCTATATTTATAAAGTAGAATAAGATCTCTTCACCTGGATAAGTCTGGCCTCACCTCCTTCTGAAGTTCTATAATCCTGTATAATATTTATCTATTTATTCATTCATTCAACAAAATGCTTCCTCAATTCCTGTTTGTATAATAGTACACACTTGTATAATCAGCAAAAATATAGGCCTTCAAGATTATATGCTAGAAAATTAAAACAATCATATGCCACTATACTACAGGTGATAATGTAAATGGTATAGGTAAAGTGTCAATAGGGTACAATGAAGGATCGGGAGAAAAAACCCTGAATTTAGACAGAGGCAACAGATATCATTTTAGCAGAAAACCCTGAAGTATTTCTTGAGTTCAATTTCCCCTCATGGTACTTTTCAAATAGTACACTAAGGAATTATATTTTCACCTTGCTTGCATTCCATCTGTAGTTTATTAATGCATTTTGAATGTGGAGATTTTCTCAGTTTACCTCTAACTAGAAGTCAGCGGAAATCTTGACTCAGCTGGCTTACACAATAAGAAGATGTACTTAAAAAATACAGGAAACCTAACTGTGATGTTGGGTTAGTTCAGAGAGTAGCTCACCTCTGCTCCACCATCAGAAGACTCTGGGCTGTCCTTGGACCTTCTCCTCCCATGCCTACAGGATGGTTGCAACAGTTGTGAGCATCACATCTGAACAGGACTATGTCCAGAAGAAGGAGGAGGACATTCATTTTTCATTCCTCCTTTTAAGTATAAATAAACCCTTCCCAGGAACCTAGCAGCAGGCTACTTAGTAACTAAAATTGTCTCACAGACTGATGTCTAAGCCATCACTGGCAAAGAAAGGGGGGCATAAAATTGGCTAGACAAAATAAAAACCTCTTCTTGACCAAAAAAAGGGCAGAACCAGCCTTTCCTAAGCACATGACTACCTGGAGGCAGATGAACATCTGGACGATGTTAAGAGGCAGGGAATAGATTTTGAAGAGATTGTCAAAGGGTCTATCTCAGGGACTGTTATGTGGTAACTCACTATCCTAAAGGATGCTTTTAAACTGCCTTGCTTATAGTATGAATTTATCAAATATTTGTTATTTTTAGTCAAGTAAGAGAAAGAGAATCAAATTCATCCTCTTTAAACTCCATTTATCAACAGGCAAGCAGAAGATCAGCACACAAATGAACCCATGACATTGGCTTTCTGGTCAAGTGTGGCAAACAGAAAACTAATAACTGCCCTCACTGCAATCTCAGAGACAGAGACACAGAAAGGTTTTCTGGTTTTTAGAAATAATAGGCCTAATTAGAATTATTCTAGTAGTAGACATTAACTCCCAGGTTCTTGTGTAACCAAGACCAGCTTAGCTTAAGTTGGTTGTTTGCCTTTAGTTCTATTCACCATTCTTTGAGCATCAATGCCACTGAAGTTAGTAAAAAAAAAAAATTCATGCACTTAATTTCTCCAAAAATTCTACAAGTTTCAACAGTGCAATATAAAATCATCAGGTGCCTTCTATTTGTTTATTTACACATATATGAACTGTGTGGCTTCTTACCCAAATGCACTAGAGATTTGGATAATCTTTCTTGCCTTTGAGGAAATTGTTTAAATCATGAGACATAAAAGTGTCCTCAGCAGAAAAAAAATTATTCTATAGTGCCTTCCAAGAATGAAATATAACAATACAGCCTTTTGCTATATACCTTAACCTTCACAACACTCTACGATAAATGAGTATTTTCAAACCCATTTAACAGGTGCGGAATGTGAGATTTAAAGAGGTTAAATATATATTCTGAAGTCACATATTTATAAATCAGGAAGCTGGGACTTATATCCAAGTCTGCCGGATTCCAAAACCCAAACTTTTAATTGTCATTCTATTTTCTTTTATAATATTTTTATTTGCTTCTGGTAAATTTTATGTAAGTGAAATCTGATGTAACCATGAATGAGCCCAGAACATGTTAATTCACCGATTTTAGTCTGTTCCCAGAAAAACAATGGACACGCCTTAATTCTAGCATGGAAAATAACTTTAAACTACATAAACTTCAAACCAAATAATTATGTCCATCTAAATACAAATAAATATGCTCTCCATCATAAAAGGCATCATGACATGAATCTTATTTGAAAAATTGCAATTATTGCATTTAGTTTCCTAGAAGTTTAAAGTGGATCTACATGGAAACCAGTCTTTCACCTTGACTGACAGCCGCCTCTCCCTGTATTTTCCTGCATTATTGCTTGTCCCAAGACAATCCATACGCAACACAGCATCAGAGTGATCTTTTGAAAACAGAAATCACTTCTCTGATGATAGCAGGCTCAGTGGGGAGCTGAACTCCTGCTCTATACAGCAGCAATGTGGTGAAACTAGCAGGATTAGTTGGCACCTCACTTCTCCCCATTCCTGCCAGTGTCAGCAGGACTCAACAGGGAGCAGAACTTTCACACTCAGCAGGAAGCAATGAGGCAGTGCAAGCTTTGTTTTCACCAGGAAAGTGTCAGTAGAAACCAAAAAGAGGCAAAGTTTTCATCCCCACCGTCCACAATGAGGCAGAGCAAGGTGAGGAGAAGTAATACTTTGTTTTCACCAGAGTGGGGACAGCAGATCTCAAGCAGGGAGCTAACTATCCACTCCCAATTGAACCTGCACGTTACACTTGAGGACAGTGATTTTCTATGAATTAAAGAAGAGTCAGTAACATTCAGAACCTCAGAAATATAATGCTGAAATTTCCAGGATACAATTGCAAATCACTCACTAAGCCTAAAACAAAGGAAATCTCAACTGGGATGAGAAAAGACAATCAACTGATGGCAATGCTAAGATGATACAAATGCTGTAATTATGATAGTTGATTTTTAAAGCAACTATCATAAAAATGCTTCAATTAATTATTGCATACAAATTAAAACAAATGAAAAACATAGAAAAATCTCAGCAAATAAATAGAAAATGCCAAGAAAAGTGATTACTATATTTTTTAGTTTTAAACTAAAAAATATAGTAATCAAAATTTTAAAACTCATTGGTTGACTCAGCAGTGAGATAAATATACAGAGAAAGGAATCAGTAACTTTAAGGATGAAATAATAGAAATTACTGAATCCAAAATACAGAGAGAAAGTAGACTGAAGAGAAATAAACAAATATCAGGAAGCTGAGGGACAATAACAAAAGGTCTAACTTGCATCCCACTGTGGAGTGGATAAAGTGTGTAGCTGAAAAAGTATTCGATGAAATAATGGCTAAGACTTTTCAAATTTGGTGAAAGTCATAAACTTATATATTCAGGAAGCTAAGTGAACCACAACAGGATAAACCCAAAGAAATCCAGACAAAGATATATCATCATCCATCCCCAATAAACTAAAGAAAAAGAAAGAAAAAAAAACCTTCAAAACAGTGGAAGAAATGATGCATTACTTACAGAGGAGTAATTATTTGAATGACAGTAAGTTTAGCATCCTAAACTATGGAAGCTAGAAAGAAGGGACATAACGTTTTTGAAATGCTAAAAAAACAGTTAATCTTGAAGTTTACACCCAGCAAAAAGTCCTGAAGTTTAGACCAGCATTTTTTCTTTAGGAATGAAGATAAAATCAAGACATCTTCAGATGAAGGAAAACTAAGACAATTTGTCATCAACAGACCTACTCTAAAAGAATGTTCTTGAAACATAAATGAAATGAATTAAGAAGGAAATTGTAACATTAAGAATGAAGAAATAACTATGAAAAGAACCAAAATACGGATAACTAAAACAAACTATCTCCTTCTGAGTTTTCTAAATTATATTAAGACAGTTGGAGCAAAAATTAGATTGTCTGATATGGTTCTCAACTTATGTGAAGGAAATATTTGAACAACAATAATATAAAGAAGAGTGGGTAAAGGGACTTATATCCAGATAAATTTTCTACACTTTTCTTGAAGTAGGAAAATGTCTCCAGCAGAGTGTGATCAATACATACATCAGATTATATCATTTTGTTGGTCAAACTTCTTAATCCTGACATCTTAAAAAGTAATCACTAGATTTTTGTATTTTAATATTCCAACTTTTGTGAGAGTACTATGAAACTGGCTCTTTGTTATTGACCTTTCAGTGGATTTCCATTACATTTTGAAAAAACACAAACTCTTTAATATGACCTAAAATGAGATTCTTGCCATTTCTAATCTCTCTGATCTCATTTCATATCACAGGAGCTCCTAGAACTACCCTCAAGCCATACCAGCTTCCTTCTTCTCCAGGTCTGTACCAACTCATTCCCCATGTTGGGCCTTTGCGCTGGCTTTGCTCACTATTTGGAATTCTCTACCTCAGGCTTTGCACAGCCAGCTTCTAGGAGTTATTCAGTGCTCAAATCACCTCCATAGTGATCTCTCCTGACTAACTAATCTAAAATAGATTCCCCCAGTCCTTACATATCACCTCTCTTTCATTGTCTTCACAGCACTGTCACCTTTAAAAATTATCTTGTTCATTTATCTGTGTGCTCTTTTGTTTGTCTATTTCCTTTTACTAGAACATAAGCTTCATGAAAGCAAGGACCTGGCTTAACCTGTTTACTGCTGAATTTTCAGCACATAAAGCAGTTCATAGCACAAAACAGGCACGCAACAAATATTTGTTGAATACATGACTATCTATTGTTTTCTCTAAAAATCTTTTAGATAAGGATGGCAAATGTGAAAACAAACTGTTGTACAGACAGAGATTGAATTTTTTTAAACCAGTATTAACTTAGAAACATTTTTCATAAGCAACATTTCCAAAATCTTTTTTTTTCCATTTATTTATTTTATTGCATTTTAGGTTTTGGGGTACATGTGAAGAACATGCAAGATTGTTGCATAGGTACACACGTGGCAGTGTGATTGGTGCCTTCCTCCCCATCACCTACATCTGGCATCTCTCCCCTTGCTATCTCTCCCCAGCTCCCCACCCCCAACCGTCCCTCCCCTATTTCCCCCCAACTGACCCCAGTGTGTCGTGCTCCCCTCCCTGTGTCCATGTGTTCTCATTGTTCAACACCCGCCTATGAGTGAGAACATGTGGTGTTTGATCTTCTGCTCTTCTGTCAATTTGCTGAGAATGATGGT